ATGGTATTAGCGAATTCACGTCGAGTTTTAATTTTTCGGAGTGTTTCTTTATTAAATCGCTAGTTGCTTTAAGCGTGTTAGCGTCCGATAAAAGCGGACGAAAGTACATACAAAAAGGTCATAACAGATCCCACAACTAACACGCTTAAAGCAACTAGCGATTTAATAAAGAAACACTCCGAAAAATTAAATCTCGACGTGAATTCGCTAATACCGTCATGTACCAAACCACCGAAGGTTGTATCGATCCGATAAAAGCGGACGAAAGTACATACAAAAAGGTCAAAACAGACCCCACAACTTAAAGCAACTAGCGATTTAATAAAGAAACACTCCGAAAAATTAAAGAAAGAAAGAATTAAAGAAAGAAAGAAGAAGTCCTCCATGAATATGGACTATACACTATAGGACGTAGTGGAGCGTTTGGTTTGTGTATCTTTGGTAACCCATACAACCTCGGTGGTATGATGGTATTAGCGAATTCACGTCGAGATTTAATTTTTCGGAGTGTTTCTTTATTAAATCGCTAGTTGCTTTAAGCGTGTTAGTTGTGGGGTCTGTTTTGACCTTTTTGTATGTACTTTCGTCCGCTTTTATCGGATCGATACAACCTCGGTGGTTTGGTACATGATGGTATTAGCGAATTCACGTCGAGATTTAATTTTTCGGAGTGTTTCTTTATTAAATCGCTAGTTGCTTTAAGCGTGTTAGTTGTGGGGTCTGTTTTGACCTTTTTGTATGTACTTTCGTCCGCTTTTATCGGATCGATACAACCTCGGTGGTTTGGTACATGATGGTATTAGCGAATTCACGTCGAGATTTAATTTTTCGGAGTATTTCTTTATTAAATCGTTAGTTGCTTTAAGCGTGTTAGTTGTGGGGTCTGTTTTGACCTTTTTGTATGTATTTTCGTCCGATAAAAGCTGTAGTATTTTAAAATTATACTCTGACGTGTCCATTATTACCGTAGCATTTCCTTTATCCGCGCGGAGAATTGTTAGCTCTGGTCTGTTCCGTAAGTTAATCAACGCTGTAAGTTCGTCTTTAGGAAGGTTTGGTTTCGGCACTGAACTACGACGTAACAAGGACGAAATATCTTGACGTATAGCCTCCAAATCTTCCTTACCAATATTATTTTTAAACAGACAATCCTCAACGCTGCAGATAATTTCTTCGTACGGGATTTTTCGCGGTGTTAATGCGAAATTCATTCCCTTCGCTAACACCTTTATTGTTGGTTCGTCCAGTGTATGTTTTGACAGATTATAGACCGTGCGTTGTTTATTGTTTGCGTCTGTGGTCAACGGTTGTGTTTCGTTCTGACGTTGACTTAGATGATTGGCATTTGATTTGATCGTTAATTTTTGGTATTTTTCTGTTTGTTTATTTTTGCATTCATTGTATTTTGCTGTTTCTCGTTTGTTTAAAGTTTCGATGCAATTATTAAAATCAAATGTCGTTAAAACTGTCTTTAGTTCTCACAAATTGTCTATGGTGTTGTTTATGAAATGTAAATCGAACCGTTTCTGCTGAATCACCGTACGTAACAACTTTTTACTTGCCTGATTTAAGATCTTTGCGCTTCCTCGAATGTCCTTTTTTGTTGATATTTTGACACACGTAGGAATGATATTATGGTCTCTGCATCTCTTCAAGAAATTTAAAGATGTTATATATCTTGCGCGCTTGGTTTTAAGATCTTCTAATCGGCGAATTTTATTTGCTATTACCAGTCCGTACTGGTTCACATAATGATTTCTTAAATTTACGCGAACACTACACATTGAATAAAACTAAATTTACGGATTTTATCGCGTTTATTTCACTACTTTTACTTATTTTTAATTCCCGACGTTTCGGGTGCTTGGTCATGCAACCATGGTCAGGGGGGGGGGGACTGAGATGTTTGACGTCCCAATGTCATAGTTAGTCCGGCTACCTTCAGTTTTTGAATATTAATTTTTTGGTCTCATTTACGCAAAACGAGCTTGTATTGTTACGCGCTCAAGTCGACGATACACTAGCGCCATCTAGTGTCAGGAACGAGAGTGAGGGGAGCATTGAGAAAATGACATCACAAATCACTCAGCCCACAGCGCCATCCGAAGAACTAAGTTTCTAGAAAATCTACACTCGCACACTCGTCCCTTTGCGCGCATTTACTTGAATATTCCGAATGCTTCTTTGCTAATTTAAATAAATAGGCGCTGCAGGATGCGATCGAGGCAGTATTGAAGTGGCGAAACAAGCGAAGCTTCGGAGCGGAATGAAGTGAATTAATGTGTTTAATTATTAGTGTTTTAAGTTTTAATTTATGTAAAGTGAATTAAAGTGTTAATTTAGGTAATTTTATCGGCAATTTTTATTGTCACGAACCTCAAGCTCGTAACAATTGGTGTCAGAAATGGGATAATATCATGCCGATTTTACCTAAGGAGGAAACGGAGGGTGTCCGTACCCGAAGTCAACGACAGCAGGAGACGGACCAACGAAGATTTGGTGGAGCAACGCCGCAGACGTCGGAGGGCCAGCCACTGGCTGCAGGCCCGTCGGTAGCTCCTACATCTGCAGCACCTGACTTAGGTGCTCTGATGGTGATGCTACAGGAGCAGGCTCGCCGACAGGAGGAGCAGGCTCGCCGACAGGAGGAGCAGGCCCGTCAGTTGAAAGAGCAGCTGCAGAGCGGACAGGATGAACAGGCCCGCCGACAGGAGGAACTGGCCCGTCGGTTGGAAGATCAGCAGGCGGAACAGGCTCGTCGGTCGGAAAAGCAGATGCTCCTTATGAAGGACCTTCATGCTACCTTTGGTAAAGAGATAAGTGAGGTGAAGGATAGGGTTGCTCAACATGACAACCGCCTGTCGGAAGCTGAAACCCAAATCAAGGAAGCTAAAACCCAAATCGACCAAGTGAACAATCGGGTTGATTACGTGGTGGCTGATGTGAAGAAAACGCTGGACGACCTCAAACTGGGTGATGGAACTATAACTCCCGTAGTAGCTACTACACCTTCGCTACGTGGGTTCAAAGTGCCACCGTTCGACGGGACTTCTTCCTGGTCAGCCTACAAAATCCAGTTCGAGGCTGTTATGAAGGCGAACGGCTGGAATAAAAGTCAGGCAATGACTGCTCTCACACTAGGCCTGCGCGACCAGGCCTTAACAGTTCTGGAAGCTCTCGGGGAGGAAGTGACTTATGAGCAACTCCTTGAGGCATTGGAGGCGAGATATGGCGACGCCCACCTAGAACATGTCTTTTGTGCGCAGCTTAAAGATCGCGTGCAGTGCCTCAACGAAAACCTGCAGCAGTGGGCTCTAGAGGTGGAGAAGCTGGTGCGGAAAGCATACCGGTCTGTACCTGCGCTCATTGAAGGGAACCTGGTGCAGACATTCATCGACGGCATTCGCGACCTGGAAGTCAGAGCTGCTGTGAGGCTCGGGCACCACGAGACGCTTAAGAACGCCTTGGCCCATGCACTGGAGGTGGAAGCCGTGCGGCAGGATCATCGTTACCATCGCGTCAGGGAGGTTGCAGGAGCTACAGTCCGTGACCGCAGCAAAGGATACAGCCCTAGGTGCTATGGCTGTGGGGAAAAGGGCCATCTTCGATCCAGCTGCCCTAAACGAACCGTGGAAAGGAGAGTTGATCGATCTCGAGAGGGTAGTGCAGCTAACGGCACTGCCTGGCGGCGACAGGATCATCGTTCACCTCACGCTAGGGAGGTTACAGCAGTTACGGTTCGCGACCATAATAAAAGATACAGCCCTAGGTGCTATGGCTGTGGGGAAAGGGGCCATCTTCGGTCCAGCTGCCCTAAGCACACCCTAGGAAGGGAAGGTGAACGGTCTCAGAAAGGAAGTGCGGCTAACAGCACCGCCCAGCAGCAGCAGGAATACGACTTTACTATCAGACACTGCAGCGGGAAATCTCACGGCAACGCAGATGCATTGACAAGAAGACCTTGTCCTGAGGATTGCAACCATTGTAGTAGACAAGAGAGTAAGGAAGTGGTATCCGTGAGGATGCTCAGGACAGACCACCTCAGCAACGGGTGGAAGGACAGCCTACGACATGCAGAGCAGGAAGATCCGGTCATCAAGCCGATTCTGGGATGGATGAAGGCCCGTGCTACCAAGCCTAAGTGGAGGGACGTCTCAGCGATGAGTTCAACCACGAAAAGCTATTGGGCCCAATGGGACAGCTTGCTGATTCAGGATGGAGTCCTGTGCCATAAATGGGACAATGGTCGAAGGTATGTTCCGAAATACAACCCAGTACACTGTCGAATGCGAATGACGTCATCAATTGGGGAACATACCCCCTATAAAGTGACGGCTGTCAAAAAGTTATATTCTCTCGTTGAATATTTCTTGGATTTGGGGTATGTTCCGAAATACAACGCAGTGTACTGTCCAATGCAAATGACGTATCATTTGACACTTTATTGTACTAGCGTGCCGCCGCCATATTGTGTCGGATATCCGGCCATAATAAAACAATTTTTAATTGTGTTTGCCGAATGAAGCATGCCAGAATTTGTTTCTATTTATTCAAATACAAAAAATTATAGAATAATTGATGGTATATCCATTAGGAGGATATAATGATTTTTGGAGCACAAAATGACAAAATAATCGCCAACACTTTTCCAAATCGCGCAAAAGTATGACGTCATATACTGTCCAATGTTTTGGAACGAATCAGCAGTATAGCGTCGATTCATGACGTCTTTGCATTGGACAGTACACTGCGTTGTATTTCGGAACATACCCTTGGTATACCTTGGTTCTTTTTGTTGTACGTCACAGAGTACTTTTTATAAACTGAAATTGAACATTCTGCATACATTCAATTCTATAATTGTGCCCTGATTTAATATATGTAGTTTTTAAGTACATACTTATTACATTTATAAATTAACCTATCAACAAAACACAAGGATGAAGGTTAAGAAACAACATCGCAAAAAGAAATATCTTCATAAACTTAACCGTAAGAGAATGCATAAAAAACAACGTAGTACAGGCACCGTACCATGGTAGGAAAAATTGTATTTCTAAGTTATTTTCATCTATCTTACAATACATAGTTTTCTTTTATACTTTTTATGTGATTTTCGGTTTTTATGTGTATTGACCATATATTTCAGTGAAATTATTAAAGAAGCTTGGGATCATAAAAAATCTTCCTTTAAAAATTTAGCAGACATGGGATTAGCAAATGACCCTAACAAAGTAATAAAAATACCTAATTTGAAACAAGAAAAACTAAAGCAAGCTAAAGAAATAGTGAGTAAAGGAGAAAGTTGTATCTTAGAAACGGAAGAGGAAATTTCACAGATGCCTATTAAAAAAGAAGTTGCAGAGAAATTAGAAAAAGAAGCTAAAGCACCCAGAGAAAGGAGATTTATGTATGTATTTTTATCATAATTTTTAACAGCCATTAATAGTCATTGTAGGATATGCCTTATTTGCCGTGCTTGACAAGTTTATTGGCATCACAGTGCAACAAATGAAGTGGCAATGGGAAAGCTATATAACTCAAATAACCAATAGCCGATGGGGGAAAAAGGTTCTCAAGTGGCAGCCTCGTACCGGTAGGCGTAGTGTAGGGCGACCCTCCACTAGATGGAGTGATGACCTGGTAAGACATGCAGGAAGTTGATGGATGCAGGTGGCTCAGGATCGTGGTGATCTTTGTGGCATTATTTGGGGGAGGCCTATGTTCAGCAGTGGACTTGTGATAGGCTGTAATGATGATGATGAGAGTGCAATATGGAACACACCATTGATGCAACCATTTATCCAGTCTTCACATTCTACAACTGGCATTTCCAAATTGTATGCCACAAATTCTGGGGTCAAATCACAAGTCTTTCACCTTAGGAAGGGCTGCATTGTACTTCCTCCTTACATATGGCAATCAGATCAGGCATTGTTTTATTAAATACCTTTACTTTACATTTGACATAGGCTTAGCTAAAAGGTTACTCCTTTATCTATTAGAAGGCAAACTACCTTGTTGTAATTGGTTTTTAAATTAATGTATAAATCCCTCCTAGAATATATTTGTATGGCCTATAAAAATATTTTTTTATCTGGACTGGATAATTGTCCTTGTCTATGTACAATATATGTATGCAAACACCTCTATGATTATTATGTTCTTTAAAAGTAAAATAGATTATGTTCGGCAATTTTATAAAGTAACAGTCAATATCACATTGCAAATACAACTATGTTGTTCCATTACAGTCAAATTGCCATGTCAAGTATCTCTCTGCTTCGGTAAATGTGTGTGATTTTTTCACTTTGGTAAATGTTGTGGGAAATAATAAATAGAAATGGAAATATATTACACCCAGGTTGCTTGCATATTATGACATTTATATGCCATGACAATTTACTTGATATTTATATCATCATCATCATCATTACAGCCCTTCACAAGTCCACTGCTAAACATAGGCCTCCCCAAGGTATGCCACAAAGCATTATGCCATAAGGTAATATGTCCACCCATTGTAACTCTTCTTAAGATGTCCTACAATAAAGATTAAATAAATAATCTATTATTATAAAACTCTTTTTTCTTAAAAGCTTAAGCCCATTTGCAAATAATGCAGAGTAACATGCCTAAGTATGCAAGTATTTTGATTATAAAAATGCAGGCTAATGAGTATAAACCAGTGCCACAAGCTAAGGATAGTGGTATAGTGTGTTGGTGGAAACACACAATGGTGCCATATGCATTATATTTCTACAAGAATCAAAACAATTTGCACTTAAATTTTTACTTAATGAAATTGTTAACACAATGAAATTTAATGCACAGTAACTGTAAAATGCATTATTTACTTGGTTTTTGTTATTAAAGGCATAGAATTGTAATTGAAATCTTAATTTTTTTTAATGTACAGGTTGCCAAAAGCACAAGTAGAATTTATAACATATTTATTGGATAAATATGGCCATGATTATAAGGCAATGGAAAAAGACAAGAAAAACTATTACCAGGAAACATGGAAACAATTAAGAGCTAAGATTAAAACATTCATGGGAATACCAAAACAGTACAGTGAATACCTAAAAGTAAGAGGTTTACTTGACAAAGAAGAAGACGAGGAAGAATTAAAAATACAAGCTAAAGCTTTGGTGATGGATGACTAATGTCATTTTTTACATGTTTTAAAATTATACAAAACAGGACAGTTTTGGATCTTCTCTAAAAACAAGTATACTTATGTATAATAAATAAGTAAAAGGTACTAAAACATGATGGTCAGACATTATTCATCTTACATCTTACAATGCAATTAGCCAAAATCTTCATAAACACCTGTTTTAATGTATTATATGAGAAGATCTTATAAAAATATTACTTGAATTCTGAAATAATTTATTTTATTACAAAAACATTAATGATTGCATTGGGAAAATATGTATTTGTAAATTAACAAATTGCAATGTTCTATTATTTTATTGCTTTAAACAATGAAAGTAATACAACAACCTTGTTTGCATTTTATTGAGTTTTACAATCACTTGGAATATCCTTTATAGGTTTTACTTTTTTCAGCTCTTCGTACCATTCCTTTTCCATATCTAGGAGCTTTTGAGGCTTTTTATACTGAAATAAATAGTTGTTGTTTTTATAAATTAAATTCAAAAGAATAAGGCGAGCTTAGTAAAAGTGCATAAAAATCTGATTTTCCACTCCATACATAGCATCGTCTGAGTTGTGATGGTGTAAGAATATTCACTATCCAATGTCATCCTAACATCCTAAGGGTGTTGTAAGATGTGACAGGGGGAAATAAACTTGGAGATGGGCTGCAGCATCTTCCTAATAATAATTGTAAAACAAAAATTTGCAGTTGTCAACCATGGCAAATATACTCCATATAACAATCTATGGGTTAGGCCTGTGTTCAGTAGTGGACTGTTGATAGGCTTTAATGTAGTGATGCAACGGAAGTGTCATATCGGAAGCAAAAATGGAAACAGATGTTAAAAATATTTTTTTTGCAGAAACGGAAACAGAAACTGATGCGGAAACGGAAATAATACTTATTAAAAAAATTACAAATAAAACTTTTAATTAACATTCAAAATTAAGTAGCCGTTAAGTTATATTTTATGAATAGTAGTTCGGCCATTTTTACACCTAACAACCTGTTCCAGTGTACTTCATATAAGTCCAGCTCCGAAAAATAATAATTATTGCTATAGCAATTATTGCTCACTGGCGATGCTGCGTTCCACCTATACACCAAAGCTAAATAGGCACTGAAATTTGGGCAAACCCTTTAAAGAGCCACATTTAGTTTTCGGGAGTAGGTAATTTAGTAAAGCCCTAGCAAGAAAGTACGACGTAAATAAACTTTGAATTCAAAATACTCATTAGTTTCTTTAAAAACAATTATATTTTACCGTGACCATGGGTGCTGGCAAGCACCTGAAACGTCGGGTATTAAAAATAACATAAATAAACGCGATAAAGTCCGTAAAAGTAGTTTTAATCAATAAAAATAATTAATTTATACGTAAGTAAGAAATAAATAATATAAACTTCACGCAAACATAACTATATTACCTAATTAATTTGCAAATCTAAGTTTAAGGCATTTATTAAAAACTATTTTTAACTGAAGATAAGATGTTTTAACTAAAATTTGGTTTTAACTATAACATAGGAATACATTTTATACATAAATAAGTATGCAATTCCTTGACTGACCATTTGTTTTTAGGTTGCGATGAAAGTTTTACAGTTTCAACTAACTTCTCAAACTCTGCAATTTTTTTGGCGTTTAAGAAGGCTCTTTAAAGAGGTAGTTGTGCAGCCTATTCCCGAGTATATTTTGTCACATAATTTGCATGTGGCTGTTTAATCATCAATCTTAAAATAATAGTTCCAAACAGGACTTGTTTTTAGCTTCATGATTGCAATTAAATTACACACACGACTTAAATTACTAATTAACTAAAAATACAATAAATCTATGTATGTGGATGCGTTGCTGAGTTCCGTTTAAAATTCCGTTATAAAACTTGCGGAAACAGCAGCAGAAACGGATGTTAAAAACCATGCAGAACTTCCGCAGTTGCAGAAACAAAAACAGAGTTCTGTTGCATCACTACTTTAATGAAAGAGATAGTAGGACAGATTATCTATTTTTTAATTAACAAGTCTACCATCAACAAATTCAAGTACTAAGTGATAAAAACTACTCTAAACAACAGTATGCAATTGTCTGACAGTGTACTTCTTTTGTAATATACCTTACTAAAGTTGGATTTTAAAAATTCTTAGCATGGTTAGCATATTATAATAGACAATCTTTAAAGTAATAAGAGGATGTGCCATCTGATTCTTGATAAGTGGTAACCTTATGTTGTTGTGGTAATTGTTATTAATGTGATTCCATATTTAAATAATACTAGTTTTTACGGATTTTATTCTATTCTCTTACTTTCACAGCCTGATGAGTCAGTAATCTGACACCACAAGGGAGGTCAAGACCAACAGCTTCAAGTGCTTAACTGTGCCTTAGACAGGGATAAAACACCACCCATCTGTGTTGTGGCATAGGTCTCCTCTTTGATCTACGTAAAAAAAATTGTCAAGGACCTCATAATAAGCCAATTCCACAAAGGTCATTTTCATATTTGGTAACAAAATAGGAACAATTTCCATTTGCACACTGAGAGACTACTCTTTCCCTTTCTTATTCCTTTATTCGTATCTTTTACTTGTTCTAGTGTTGACACATGTGAGGAACTTAATCATGGCATGAAAGTCAATTTTTTCCAAAGTTAGTGTTCACCTTTCAATTGACTGTTTATCTGTGATATCTTAAAGGGTAATGAAACGATCTGGCTAAAACTTGGTATTTATAGTTAAGTCACCAAGTAGTGTCAGATAAAAAATCTCCCATCCCTTCTCTAAACCTTCCATTTTGTGAACTTTTGACCTGTTCCTCATAGGATTTCTTAATTAACAGGATGTGCCAATTAAGAGTGGAGTTTTTTGGAATTAAAATTAGTACTGTTAAAATGTTTACCACTTACAAACAATTTTCTTAATTTAAAGTCTTAATTAGCTTACACTCATGGAAAAATTAAACAAGTAATACTTACAGTTATTATCAAGGTATTAAAATTATGAGATGCTTGTATATTTGCCTGCTCTAGGGATAAATTAATTCTCTCGAGTTCTGGTACTTCCAGCTTTTTGTAATACTTTTTATTACTTGTACTAATAATAATACACTTGTTTTCATTATCGACCTTAATAGAATAAGTTTCAATAGGATAAGGTAAATTCCTAATTCTCCATTCTAGATTTATTCTTGTATTACGTCGTAATAATACGGGCTGAAAGTGGTTAAATAAAAATTGTTAATTGTATTATAAAAAATTATTATAAACTTATTAATTTCGCCATCACAAACCTGATCTTTAGATTCAATTATCTCTGCAACATCATTACTAGGAGTAGGATCAGGGATAGGATCTCCAACTTCTACATGCCATTTGCCCTCACCTCCTAGTTTTCCTTTAACTTTCCATGCTCTTCTTAATAATACCTGAGTATCCACATTGTATTCTTCAACCATTTCTCGTCCATCTTCAAATTTATAATGAACTTTTTTGATTTTGTCGTCTTTTAAACAAGACTTTTCTGCGTCTAGCAACGACTTGTACCAGATTAAATTTTTATAGCTCATATTGTTATTTTCGCTAATAAAAACACTATCTCTAATCCTTTTTTCAATAAAAGTGCTCACAATGTCTGTTGAGTCCACACTTTCGATTAAACATGTTTTTCTTTTCATATTAAGTTACTATAGCAACAAAAGCAAAAAAAAATGTTATTTGTTTAGTAACAAGTTTGGTAGATTAAGTAACAGTAACATTATTGTCCTTAACGTAAATAAAACAAGAATTATCAAACATTAATTCGACTTTTCAACTTGTACATATTATGAATAAATATACTTTTCAATTAATTTCTCATTTAAATGTGACCGTAAATACTAGATAGTCTTCGCTTCGTTTGTTGTTGAGAATCGCCATAGATAAATAAATATGAAGAAAGACAAAAGTCTTAGATCATGCAGCCAAGTTTTAGTTTTTTTTTTTATAGGATAGGATGACAAATGAGCACACAGTCCACCTGATGGTAAGTGGTTGCTGTGGCCCATAGACATTAACATCTATACTCGATTACGAATCAAAATGCAGATGCGTTGTCATCAGTGAGGACTTAGATGCAATGCCTTGTTTTCAGTAAAAAGGGTCTCCGGTTCTCTACACTCACCATACGAAACACAGCATTAAGCTATTATTTGACGCTGGTATTCTGTGAGAGCGTGGTCCTTCCCCGTTCAAGCTAACCCATTACAGTTCCATTACAGTTATATTAGTAGTAGAGATGGGCCGAATATTCGGCATATTCGGCAGCTTTACCAAATATTCGTATTCGGCCGAATATTCGGCTAAATAACCGAGTATTCCTTTTCATAGTGTCCAATGTATTGAAATGTACGAATTGACTAATGCGATGTCTTTTACTGTTGAAAGTATATTTTTATTTTATTTATGGGTTAAATCTGCTTACTATAGAGTGCCTCAAATGCATAAATCTATACATTTATGTTTTTGAGGCACTGTAGATTTATTTCCGAATATAGCAAATAGAAACTTGATAAAATGTTTTTGGAATCAAACAAAGAAACATTACATTACATTAGTACATTTCACTTTACTTTGGTCGTCAGTTTCCTTAAAATAAGTCCAAATAGTAAATCTCCTGCCCCTAATTTTTATCATATAATTATCAACTTTCACTGAGAATAAATCAACGAAATACTTTTTTATCACAAGAATAGTCAAAACATAAGCATGTGCCGGCAATTTCCTCAGTACTAGATGATGCAATAACCGTCCGGCGGCGCTAATCCCGCGCGCTTTACGGTAACAAGTTTCGACATAAATTGGTTGGGTCCCGAGGTTATCTTGCCGAATAATGTTCGGCCGAATATTCGGTTCGGTAAAAGCTTTACCGAACATTCGGCCGAATATTTGTATTCGGTGAAATCCATATTCGGCCAATCCCTAATTAGTAGTATAGTGCTACAACTATACTACTAATATAACTGCAG